CAATCATAGGCGGCTCCTGTGGAAAAAGGTGGAACCATGGGGCCTCACTGTAGCGGTCTAGGAACCAGTCCCCAGTTCTTCGAGCTGGGCTTTCAAAGATTTCTTCATCTTGAGTTCGAAAGGAATGTGGGAATCCTCTTTCATTGGTTGTTTCGGACTCTCTTCAATAGCAGCTGTGCTCTAGGACCATAGGAATCTTCTGCATTTTTCTCTTTGCTTCGGTAATGAATAGTTCGGGTAATGTCGTGCTCTAAAGATGCCCGTCATCTCATCGACTGATTCTTCAAAGTAGTGGTCCTCAGATTCAAATTCAAATTCAAAGTTTATTCTCTATAAAGATTACAATGTTGAATTTACAGAATTTGGTTGTTGTGTGGTTTACATGTAGTTAAATAATGATTACAGAGTGTACCACTAGAACGCCTAGCATGGCTAGGCATTTCGGGCAGACTTAGTTTAATTCTTTATTTTAAAATATTACAAATTATGAGGTAAGTTGGTATTATGGCTAAGTGACTAAATACTAGTTTGTGAGTTTAGCAATGTGAATGCTTTTGTTTTGGCACAGTACATAGTTTCAGTATTGGAGTATCATAGGATTCATTATTTTAAGATTGAGATTAATAATTCTGTTTATGGTCAAATGGGTGAGTGAGTGTAAGTGTGAACCACCAGGTGGTATTCGTGTAGTTAGTAGTCAGTACAAATCCTCTTGATTCGGATTGCTGGGGAGAAAGGACGAGAAGGTTTCAAGGACATAAGGTAACAAGAAGACCACAGCAGATACTGGTGAGAGTAAGACGGCTTATAATAAGTTCTGGTCTGCAATATGCGGTCCTCATTCACGTTGACAACCGTGTCCAAGAACGGGAAGTTCTTAGACATGCTCTTCAAAGGTAAATCTCGGGGAAGGATAGATCTGATTCACCCCAGAGTGTACTGTGGGGTGAATCAGATCTATCTGGGGTGTACAGTTGTTTCGTAACCTCAAACATGCAAAATATATCATCTATGTACCTAGAATACACCAGTAATCCCAGATGTGCTCTTTCTAGGCGAGACTCTAGGGTGGAATGTACGAAGATCTCGGCCACTGCTATACTCACAGAGGCTCCTATGGCTGTTCCTGTTTTCTACCTGTATACCTTGTTACTGAATTGCAAGACAGTGTCCTCCATTACGTGTAGCAGAGCCTCCCTGACCAGATGTATGATCGGTGGTATCTTGATCCCTAGCGAGAAGAGTTTCGGTCGTATCTCCTCCAAGTGGTTTTTGTAGAAGTTAGAAACTCTGGCCACTGCTTCCCTCTAGCAGGGCTTCCCAACCAGGGGGTGCTCGCACCCCCTGGGGTGCTCCCACCCCCTGGGGGTGCGAGCCATCATTCCAGGGGGTGCGAGAAGCGTCATCGAATTAAAATGGATTCGCAAACTTTTTGGAAGTCAGTCTTTTGATTTTATTATCATGTACATATTTAAAGAAAGTAACTATTTTTTGTATGGTATATTCAAATGTTAATCTGAGACATCCTTTCCTGTCCACATGTTTGATTTTTTACATATTAAAAAAACAAAATTCCTTACTAAAGGTTTGAAAGCTAGTTCTTGATTTGACTTTTTTGTATATATTTCAAGCAAGACATTATTATTTTTGTAAGGTGTATTCAAATATCATTCTGTGATATATTTCTTTTCTGTAAGTCTGATTTTTGTTCACATATTATATTAGAAAGTGAAATAAATATCTTCTTTTGATAAAATTTAGTATAATTCCACATCCCTTATCCTTGAACAAAGTTTAAATTATAGGGGGTGCGAGGTTAGAGCAAAAATTATACAGGGGAGCGGGAGTAAGAAAAGGTTGGGAACCACTGTTCTACGGCATAGAAGGATATAAAAATTTGATATCTAGAGAGGCCAGCCTAAAGTCGTGTGGGCTCGACCCTGACTCCTGCTCCAAAACCTTCAGTTTGTGTTGAAAATACGTAGTAGGAGAAGTATTACCCAGTGTCCTGGCTGGAGCCGCACCACCTGACACAACTTTTCCACGTACCTCAAGTTGAATCTAGGTCCTTGTGGGTTTTTGGCAAAAAGTATGTATGAGGACCCTTACTTTTGTAATGAAAACAACAGCTACCACAACAAGGAAAATTACTGCAACAAGTAAAATAACAACTACTACAGCAAAGAAAGCAAGTATAGGGCGCTTAAAACAAACGATTAAAATCCCTCGTCATTCTGTCAAAATACCTAAATAGAGGAAGGTGTGTGAGAGTACATAACGCGGGGCTTAGTGCTGACATTATGTTCCCGGCAGGCGTAGGCAGGTGTGGGCAGGTGTGGCCAGTTTTGGGCAGATGTTGGTAGGTTAGGTAGGCGTGGGTGTGGGAAGGTGTGAGCGGGTGTGAGCAAGTGTGGGAAGGTGTGGATAGGCGTGGGCTGATAAGATAAGATTTACTGGGATTTTTTAACCCAAGGTAGGGAGGATTATCCACTCAGGATAACCCAGGGTAGGGAGGGTTATTCACGCAGGATAACCTGGAGTAGGTATGGTTAACAACCCAGGATAACTCGGGGTAGGGAGGGTTAACTACTCAGGATAATCCAGGGTAGAGAGTGTTAGCTACCTAGGGTAACTCAGGGTAGGGAGTGTTATCCACCCAGGATAACTCAAGAAAGTCAGTGAGTGATCGACGACGGTCTTGTCTTATTTCCATAGTGGTCCTTCATTATTGTCCCCCAGGATGCCACCCACACCAGTCCACTAATATCCAGGTACTTATTTACTGCTAGGTGAACAGAAACAGCAGGCGTAAGGTGACTAACACCCAGGTACCTACTTACTGCTAGGCGAACAGGGACAGCAGGTATAAGGAAACATGACCAACGTTTCCATCCGTGCCGGGGATTGAACCACGGACATTGGGTGTGAGGCGAGTGCGTTGCTAACCGAGCCACGGGGCACCCCACCAAAAAAAAAAACAATACGTATTTGCGTGACCTGCTTTCACAGTGCCATGCTTGCACAGTGCCATGCTTGCACAGTGACATGCTTGCACAGTGACATGCTTGCACAGTGACATGCTTGCACAGTGACATGCTTGCACAGTGACATGCTTGCACAGTGCCATGCTTGTACAGTGACATGCTTGTACAGTGACATGCTTGTACAGTGACACGCTTATATAGTGCCATGCTTGCACAGTGACATGCTTGCACAGTGACATGCTTGTACAGTGACACGCTTATATAGTGCCATGCTTGCACAGTGACATGCTTGCACAGTGACATGCTTGTACAGTGACACGCTTATATAGTGCCATGCTTGCACAGTGACATGCTTGCACAGTGACATGCTTGTACAGTGACACGCTTATATATTCCAGTGCTTGCATCTACTGCACAGTGACATGCTTGCACAGTGACATGCTTGTACAGTGACACGCTTATATAGTGCCATGCTTGCACAGTGACATGCTTGCACAGTGACATGCTTGTACAGTGACATGCTTGTACAGTGACACGCTTATATAGTGCCATGCTTGCACAGTGACATGCTTGCACAGTGACATGCTTGTACAGTGACACGCTTATATAGTGCCATGCTTGCACAGTGCCATGCTTGCACAGTGACATGCTTGCACAGTGACACGCATATATAGTGCCATGCTTGCACAGTGACATGCTTGCACAGTGACATGCTTGTACAGTGACATGCTTGTACAGTGACACGCTTATATAGTGCCATGCTTGCACAGTGACATGCTTGCACAGTGACATGCTTGTACAGTGACATGCTTGTACAGTGACACGCTTATATAGTGCCATGCTTGCACAGTGACATGCTTGCACAGTGACATGCTTGTACAGTGACATGCTTGTACAGTGACACGCTTATATAGTGCCATGCTTGCACAGTGACATGCTTGTACAGTGACACGCTTATATAGTGCCATGCTTGCACAGTGCCATGCTTGCACAGTGACATGCTTGTACAGTGACACGCTTATATAGTGCCATGCTTGCACAGTGACATGCTTGCACAGTGACATGCTTGTACAGTGACATGCTTGTACAGTGACACGCTTATATAGTGCCATGCTTGCACAGTGACATGCTTGTACAGTGACACGCTTATATAGTGCCATGCTTGCACAGTGCCATGCTTGCACAGTGACATGCTTGCACAGTGACATGCTTGTACAGTGACACGCTTATATAGTGCCATGCTTGCACAGTGACATGCTTGCACAGTGACATGCTTGTACAGTGACACGCTTATATAGTGCCATGCTTGCACAGTGACATGCTTGCACAGTGACATGCTTGTACAGTGACACGCTTATATAGTGCCATGCTTGCACAGTGACATGCTTGCACAGTGACATGCTTGTACAGTGACACGCTTATATAGTGCCATGCTTGCACAGTGACATGCTTGCACAGTGACATGCTTGTACAGTGACATGCTTGCACAGTGACATGCTTGTACAGTGACATGCTTGCACAGTGACATGCTTGTACAGTGACATGCTTGCACAGTGACATGCTTGCACAGTGACATGCTTGTACAGTGACATGCTTGCACAGTGACATGCTTGCACAGTGACATGCTTGTACAGTGCCATGCTTGCACAGTGACATGCTTGTATAGTGCCATGCTTGCACAGTGCCATGCTTGCACAGTGACATGCTTGTATAGTGCCATGCTTGCACAGTGACATGCTTGTATAGTGACATGCTTGTACAGTGCCATCCTTGCACAGTGACATGCTTGTATAGTGCCATGCTTGCACAGTGACATGCTTGTACAGTGACATGCTTGCACAGTGCCATCCTGGGTCAGTGACAGGAGAAAGTGGAGTCGGGCAGTACCCCGCTGTGGGGGAAGTGGAGTCTTGTAGGGGGGGACCATGGAGGAAAAGAGGAGGGGGGAGAGTGGAGTTTGCGTGTCACGGGGGTATATAAGGGCCAGCATGGCGGGTCTGTGCGCCAGAACTTCCCTACACTCACTCGCGGGATACTCGCGTCGCTCCGGAGCCAGCCTCTTCTTCAGCGCCGCCGCCACTAGAGACCTCAACGAATCGGCCGCTTCGGGAGACTATCTGCAGCGTCCATGGGGTCCTACGGAAGGAGCTGCAGGTCCTCCAGCAGGAGCTGCAGGTCCTCCATCACTAAGGTAGGACATTCTTCAATTTACGAAGGATATCAGCCGTATCTCCCCTTAAGGCGAGAAATAAATATGGCTTCCTGCGGACAATAGTGAACATCAAGCCTTTATTTGGGACAACGTTTCGCCCTGTGTAGAACGAAACGTTGTGCCAACGAACGCTTGTTCTTCGACGTATCTTCGCTCGCCATCAGCACCTTGACGTATAATCAAATTCTAAATTCGGTTTAGTGATTTACACAGAATTAAACGAACTTTAGACGAAGAAAAGACAGAGGCTGCTGGACAACGTTTCGCTCCCCACGTAAAACTTTATCCCTTCCCCCTCTACTTCGCGACTTGATAAAGCCCCAGGCAGAGCAAAACGTTTCGGAAGGATATCTGGATAAACTAGTGGACGGGACGAGTCATCACGGGAAATTGAAGGGAGGTGGTATGTGTGAGTTATACCAGTGTCGCCTGGCTGGTATATTCCTCGACTAAAGCAACTACGCACCACCACTAACACCCCCTCCACCTACCATCATTCTCCACTTAAACATTTCTACCTATGACCACTGGCCACTGACACCCTCTCCACCTACCATCATTCCCCACTAAAACCTCTACCTATGACCACTGGTCACTGACACCCTCTCCACCTACCATCATTCCCCACTAAAACCTCTACCTATACCCCCGGGTCACTGACACCTCTCCACCTACCAAATCATTCCCCACTAAAACCTCTACCTATGACCACTGGTCACTGACACCCTCTCCACCTACCATCATTCCCCACTAAAACCTCTACCTATGACCACCGGTCACTGACACCCTCTCCACCTACCATCATTCCCCACTAAAACCTCTACCTATGACCACTGGCCACTGACACCCCTCACTCTCCAGTGGAGAATTAATAATACTCTGTTTCGCCCAGGATGGGCTGAAATGTCGATTAGATTTTCCCAGGGTTAGTTAGTGCCATATATAGCTATGCTAGCCCAAGCTAGCACCACTAGCCAGGAGAGTATTGATGTTTGATGCCATGACGAAAATAATTTCGAAACCTCTTCCATAGGCACGAGAGGGGCGAAATGTGCTCAGTCATTCTGTTGATTCATGACTTATAAAATAGGGTTCCGTGATGCCAGAGTTACTGAAGGATGGGTGGTGATGTTACAGTTCTGGAGGTGGGAAGTACAGTAGCTGCATTCTGAAGGATGGGTTAGGATGTTACAGTTCTGGAGGTGGGAAGTACAGTACCTGCATTCTGAAGGATGGGTTAGGATGTTACAGTTCTGGAGGTGGGAAGTACAGTACCTGCACTCTGAAGGATGGGTGAGGATGTTACAGTTCTGGAGGTGGGAAGTACAGTACCTGCGCTCTGAAGGATGGGTGAGGATGTTACAGTTCTGGAGGTGGGAAGTACAGTAGCTGCATTCTGAAGGATGGGTTAGGATGTTACAGTTCTGGAGTGGAAGTACAGTACCCTGCACTCTGAAGGATGGGTGAGGATGTTACAGTTCGGAGGTGTGAAGTACAGTACCTGCGCCCCTGAAGGATGGTGAGGATTTACCAGTTCTGGAGGTGGGAAGTACAGTAGCTGCATTCTGAAGGATTGGGTTAGGATGTTACAGTTCTGGAGTGGGAAAAGTACAGTACCTGCACTCTGAAGGATGGGTGAGGATGTTACAGTTCTGGAGGTGGGAAGTACAGTACCTGCGCTCTGAAGGATGGGTGAGGATGTTACAGTTCTGGAGGTGGGAAGTACAGTAGCTGCATTCTGAAGGATGGGTTAGGATGTTACAGTTCTGGAGGTGGGAAGTACAGTACCTGCACTCTGAAGGATGGGTGAGGATGTTACAGTTCTGGAGGTGGGAAGTACAGTACCTGCACTCTGAAGGATGGGTGAGGATGTTACAGTTCTGGAGGTGGGAAGTACAGTACCTGCGCCCCTAAAGGATGGGTGAGGAGTTACAGTTCTGGAGGTGGGAAGTACAGTAGTTTGCATTCTGAAGGATGGTTAGGATGTTACATTTTCTGGAGGTGGGAAGTACAGTACCGCACTCTGAAGGATGGGGGGAGGATGTTACAGTTCTGGAGGTGGGAAGTACAGTACCTGCACTCTGAAGGATGGGTGAGGATGTTACAGTTCTGGAGGTGGGAAGTACAGTACCTGCGCTCTGAAGGATGGGTGAGGATGTTACAGTTCTGGAGGTGGGAAGTACAGAAAGCTGAAATTCTGAAGGATGGTTAGGATGTTACAGTTCTGAGGGGGGAAAGTACAGTACCTGCACTCTGAAGGATGGTGAGGATGTTACATTTCTGGAGGTGGGAAGTACATCCCTGCACTCGAAGGATGGGTGAGGATGTTACAGCTCTGGAGGTGGGAAGTACAGTACCTACGCTCTGAAGGATGGGTGAGGATGTTACAGTTCTGGAGGTGGGAAGTACAGTAGCTGCATTCTGAAGGATGGGTGAGGATGTTACAGTTCTGGAGGTGTGAAGTACAGTGACTGCACTCTGAAGGATGGGTGAGGATGTTACAGTTCTGGAGGTGTGAAGTACAGTGACTGCACTCGGAAGGATGGGTGAGGATGTTACAGTTCTGGAGGTGGGAAGTACAGTACCTGCACTCTGAAGGATGGGCGAGGATGTTACAGTTCTGGAGGTGGGAAGTACAGTACCTGCACTCTGAAGGATGGGTGAGGATGTTACAGTTCTGGAGTTGGGAAGTACAGTGGCTGCACTTTGAAGGATGGGTGAGGATGTTACAGTTCTAGAGTTGGGAAGTACAGTGGCTGCACTCTGAAGGATGGGTGAGGATGTTACAGTTCTGGAGTTGGGAAGTACAGTACCTGCACTCTGAAGGATGGGTGAGGATGTTACAGTTCTAGAGTTGGGAAGTACAGTGGCTGCACTCTGAAGGATGGGTGAGGATGTTACAGTTCTGGAGGTGGGAAGTACAGTACCTGCACTCTGAAGGATGGGTGAGGATGTTACAGTTCTGGAGTTGGGAAGTACAGTGGCTGCACTCTGAAGGATGGGTGAGGATGTTACAGTTTCGGATTTGGGGAAGTACAGTGGCTGCACTCTGAAGGATGGGTGAGGATGTTACAGTTCTGGAGGTGGGAAGTACAGTGGCTGCACTCGGAAGGATGGGTGAGGATGTTACAGTTCTGGAGGTGGGAAGTACAGTACCTGCACTCTGAAGGATGGGCGAGGATGTTACATTTTCTGGAGGTGGGAAGTACAGTACCTGCACTCTGAAGGATGGGTGAGGATGTTACAGTTCGGAGTTGGGAAGTACAGTGGCTGCACTTTGAAGGAGGGGTTTGAGGGTTTGTTACATTTCTAGAGTTGGGAAGTACAGTGGCTGCACTCTGAAGGATGGGTGAGGATGTTACAGTTCTGGAGTTGGGAAGTACAGTACCTGCACTCTGAAGGATGGGTGAGGATGTTACAGTTCTAGAGTTGGGAAGTACAGTGGCTGCACTCTGAAGGATGGGTGAGGATGTTACAGTTCTGGAGGTGGGAAGTACAGTACCTGCACTCTGAAGGATGGGTGAGGATGTTACAGTTCTGGAGTTGGGAAGTACAGTGGCTGCACTCTGAAGGATGGGTGAGGATGTTACAGTTCTGGAGTTGGGAAGTACAGTGGCTGCACTCTGAAGGATGGGTGAGGATGTTACACTCCAGGTCATCTGAACTGTGATGCCAGCACACTCCTGTCCACTACAACTTAATAGACTGTCAATTCTATATCTTTTAAACAGTGAAAATGATCACCCAAACACCTGTCTCCTGCTGTCTGTCACATATCTAATTCTCACTTAATTGTGAGTTGTATCTTCCTTTCTAAATTAGACAGCTCATCCTTGTTATCTGAATTAACTTACTTGTGATGTCAGTGATGTGTTTCTTAACGTTTATTTAGTTTCTCTGGAAATCTTTCCGAAGATTAGTCTAGATTTACCCATATCACTATGCAAGTTAGTTGAACTTGTACGATTGTTGATTGTATGGGTAGGTTTGAAATCTATCTATCATCACGTGACCTGTGCCTGTTCACCACCACCTGTGTATGTCTCTCAGTGTATATATACTGAGAAACATACACCGTGAGGTGCATAATATAATGATGAGACTGTGTATTCAGGAAAGCGAGGTTTCCATCAACAGGGGAAAAATTGGACGATGTTTCGCCCCATTCTTGATCCATTATCAAGTCCAAATTTGTACCTCTGATGGAGGCAGTTTTTCCATGCACCCAAAAGTATATTATAAATAAAGTGGTGTTTTTTAGATTTGTAGTTTCACTATGGTCAATTGTTGTCCACTGTCCCTCACTCGATTTGTATGGATTTGTACTGACATGCCATCAATTACGGATTTGTATGATTTGTGTTGTGATTGAGTTTAGTGTGGAGGGGAATATCCTGTCATATTTTTATATAGTTTAGTTAACAGGTTAGTTTACACTTATTTACAGGCTAAGACCTGCTTTCCTACCTCAGTTCATTTACAGGCTGACAGCTGTTATCCTTTCTTAGTTCATTTACAGGCTGACAGCTGTTATCCTTTCTTAGTTCATTTACAGGCTGACAGCTGTTATCCTTCCTTAGTTTATTTGCAGGCTAACATATGTTATCCTACCTTAGTTCATTTACAGGCTGACATCTGTTATCCTTCCTTAGTTCATTTACAGGCTGACATCTGTTATCCTTCCTTAGTTCATTTACAAGCTGACAGCTGTTATCCTTCCTTAGTTCATTTACAAGCTGACAGCTGTTATCCTTCCTTAGTTCATTTACAAGCTGACAGCTGTTATCCTCCTTAGTTCATTTACAAACTGACAGCTGTTATCCTTCCTTAGTTCATTTACAAGCTGACAGCTGTTATCCTTCCTTAGTTCATTTACAAGCTGACAGCTGTTATCCTTCCTTAGTTCATTTACAAGCTGACAGCTGTTATCCTTTCCCTTTGTTCATTTACAAAACGACAGCTGTTATCCTTCCTTAGTT